AAGAAGAATTATGAAAATTAAGTCTTCAGGCAGCCAATTCAAATCGTCATCACACTCCATGGATCATCAGCTATCTTCACAGACCTTTCTACTGTTCTGCTGAGTACAGTGATGACTGCTCGGCCTATGAAAACTCCCTGGCAAGTTTCGCCCTGAACCTTCGTCGTAGAAGTTGTTCCCATGTCCGTCTTTCTTGAAACCTGGGCATTCTTCAAGAGTGTTTGTGTTAGTGCTGTGCCATACAGGTTTTTTAGGGTGGAATATTTACAGTCTACTTCAGATACGAGTTGGTCACAACGACTTGCCAGGTCTCGAATCTTCATTTATTCAGTATGGTGTTGACTTAGGATTTTGGGGACACCAACATTTCTACGAACGTTTCTATCCTGTGGCAAATAAGAAGTATTGGGATTCGGTGAGAAAATTTTTGGTCAGGATTCTGTCCGTTTCATGAAGCACCTGTTTTAGCCCAACTGCTATCACAACGCCGTCGCTCCCACCTATATCATAACGGGTTCAGCGGTATGTTGTTGTCTATAATTCTTCTTTTTTTTGACTGTTCAACAGTTGAGCATATGACAAGTTTACAAGGAGCAAGACCGTTTCCCCAGTGTGATTTCAGAACTCACCCTCTCCTCTCTCTCCCCCTCCCCCCACTCCCATAGACTCCTTTCCGAATAACCAAGTAAAGACTTTTCATCCCCGTATTGAACTAACTGACGACAGAGCTGTACGGCACTATCTCTACTAGGGTCATCTGAGCGGCTGGAGAGAGATGTGGCTGATTTCGACTAAATTTGGCCACGGGATTTGAACTCCACACCATACAGCTGATAGTATCATTTATTTTCACTGCACCAGCGTGCAAACAAAATGAACAGAAAAATACACGCTAGCAAGCATTTTTGAACCCCCACTCAACTTTTGGAACCAGAGTGGTCGGTAGTATCATTGATTTTTGTAACTATTCTCATTGAGAGTACGTTATCCTCTATATATAGGAACCCGTATGGTGTTCCGTTTCAAAATTCGACCCAGAATTCGATCCCTGGACCATGCACGTGGTAACAGCCCATGTATCATCACCTCTCGCTAAATGAAAATGTGAGCAAAACTGACGAAGTAACTTCCAATGAGATGGCTACTCGTAAGACGACGGTGGCAGTCGGTCAGGCCTAGCTGTTGCTCGAGATCTGAGCGCAACAAACGCGGAGCTGCCAGCAACCACAGACTTCGGCACCTCTGCGTTGTCGACTGCTCCTTCTTTGAGTATCTGATCGAAAATGCTGACGCGTATGATACGAGACGATTTATCACTACAGAGCATAATACGGGTTTCTCGGCAGAGCACGGTTTTCAAATGGTCCCATTGTCGCCAAATTGCCAAAACTGCTGCGGGATATTCATGCGCGTATGTTAAGCATCAAGCCCATCTGGTTTCCCGGAATTCTGGCAAGTGCAAACGATTTTGTGGTCTTTATGGCGTTTTCATGCCCTTTAGTGCGTCCTTTACGATGAAAAGGCAACCACTTAGAAAAAATGTGGAGATGTTTATTGGTGCGGGGAAAAAGGAAAACAGGAAATGGCCCAGGACCTGAGAAATGGGAACCCTTCTATACCCAATGTTTTTTCGCAATGTTGATTGGTGTTCTCAGTATCCATGTACCAGAAGCATATGTGCAATGCATTCAGACACTCTATGATGGTACCATGAGTGCCGTCAGGAGCGCTGCAGGGACTTCGAAAAACTTCGCAATACGAGTCGGAGTGCATCAAGGGTCAGCGTTGTCGCCGCTCCTTTTCAATCTGTGCATGGATACGATTACAAGTGGATTGCAGAACGAGCACCCATGGACCCTGCTATATGCAGATGATGTGATGCTTGCTGCTGGCACCACAGAAGAGCTGCAACGCCAGTGCCAGAGCTGGAAAGTTGAGCTGGAGAAGTTTGGAATGAGATTGAACGTGAGAAAGACCGAATATATGGAATGTGGCACTCAAACGAATGCATCAGTCCATGTTGACGATGTGGAGTTGGAGAAAACGACATCTTTCAAGTACCTCGGATCACGACTCTCACATGACAGTGACATTGGAATGGAGGTGCAGCATAGAATTTCGACTGCGTGGATGAAATGGAGGCAAGTCAGCGGAGTCCTGTGTGACAAGAAAATGCCAAGGAGTCTGAAATCGAAGGTCTATCGCTCTGTAGTGAGACCGGTGGCGATGTACGGCTGCGAGTGCTGGCCCTCAACCGGAAAGCACGAACAGCAGCTTCACGTGATGGAGATGAAGATGCTACGGTGGTCGCTGGGGATCTCTAGACTACAAAAGAGAACGAACGAAGAAGTAAGAAGTGCCATGGGTGTAGCTCCAATTCAAGATAAAATGAGAGAAAGCCGCTTACGATGGTTTGGTCATGTGATGCGTAGCAATTCAGGATCCGTGGCCAAACGTGCCTTCGATATGCAGGTTGAAGGATGCAGGCCGAGAGGTAGACCAAAGACTCGTTGGATGGACAGAATCGAGAAAGATATGGCCTCGCTGCAACTCAGGCCCAGAGACACCGAAGACAGACTGTTATGGCGGCGCAAGATCAAAGCAGCTGACCCTGCGGACATGCGGGAACAAAGCTAGGAAGAAGAAGAAGAAGAAATTGGTGTGTCTTCAGTAGGTATACGAAGTTAAACATCTAGATCACTCCTCTATAGTGGGATTGTTTATCCTGCTTCATTCCTCGTGATCTTCTCCATATCTTCTACTCTTTCTTCTCTGCCGGCCTCCATCCGTTAACCCTAAATCATCCTTGTTCCCCTACACTCTCTTCAACGTTGGCGCTCTCTCTGCTAAACGGCTATAGTCAGACGGGAGGGTGTGGGCGGGCAGTGGCGTGAGCGGCGTGGGTATAGCCATGGCAGGCCGCTGGGACATACCTTTCGCTGCGAGACGCGTATCGCTCAACACCCAAAGAGGGATTGACTGCCTTTCGAACTTCCCGTTCTTCGACCCCATCATCATCTGGAATCCGCCCTTGACACTGAAATGAGCAGAGCCCATTCATAATGATCGTTTCAGGGATGTCACACTCCGAACACTCCCTTTGACAAGACACCTGTCCCCTTCAGTGCTATGAGGTAAGATCCGATTCGTTTGATGGTAGAGTCATGCAGAATTTGCTTGTTATCTATTATCGACATTTTGTAGGTTAAATCAGTATGGTTACACGATTCTGAACATCAGCAATGGCACTCACATCCATATCGAACAGATATCTATCGACAAACAAGATGCTGTTGTAGACCATTTTTGGTTGACCAAGGATGCAGGATTCGTTGCAACAGAGGAGATGAGGTATTGATACAGTGGGCGGATATGTAGGAAGAGGTCCATCACGCGATGTCGTAGCTAATTGTTACCTGCGTGCGTGTTGCGTGTATACTGCGTGCTTGACGACCAAGTCACGGTTTGCTCACTGTAGGAACCGGCAAAAGCAGACAGGACTATACAGGGGGGGGGCAATAAAAAAGACATTTTGTCTCATTGGATTTAATCACACTTTGCTCAGCTCAAAGCGTGTGCTCCCAACTTAGAATTGAAGAGCGCATTTCATTTCATAAGAAAATCTTCATAGTGGCCATCTACGTGGACGGCATCAGAAAAATTTGCCCCGGAAACATGGTGCTCTGGTCGAGCTCAATGGGGTTCTCGACTGATCGTGTACCGTTACGACGGGTTCCGAAGGGGGTTCCGAGGGGGTTTGCATAGTTAGAGCTAATGTCCCTAGGAAACTATCCCACGTTGAATCGATCCAAGAAATTATGTAAGAGCTTCAGGCTGAAGCAGTTACTGTAGGCCTCCCTGAGCTCGACGACGGTGACAGATGACGTCATATTCTGAAGACGGTGAGGGTAGTGAAGGAGGGCCTGCGTGTACTTATAGAGGGACATTTAGGGAATATTTTGCTGAGGAACTTCCGTCAACGACGGCAATCTCTGCGAAGAAAAAAGGCCGAAGTGCGACCCCGTAAAAATGTCTTTTTTGGCCCCCTGTACAGACGTCAAGTGAAAACCAAGAACGTTGAAAAGGTGCGTTAGAATCCGCTTTGCAATTCGTGCTCTACGACCAAGGGTGCGCAATACCGCGAGATGAACTTTTGCTACACAAATTCAGGGAGACGACGGCATTTGCTCATATTAAAGCCAAGCCACGTGAGAAAATGTGTATGTGGAAGCGTTCGATAATGAAGCTGGGGTACAGAGCGGTCTGAAGAAGAAAAAGGAAGCAAAAGAAACTGACAATGACTCCTCGAACAAGATCCCCTCTTTTTCAGCAGCACTCAACTATGGGACGGGGACGGGACTTCAAGCTGTTAGCCGTTATGTCGTAATCCAGGTTGAGTGTAGCCGCGGTTGCCCTCGCTGATCTTTTCAACAACCGAGCTGGACGCAAAGGGTTGCTGTGGTTGCAAGTCTGTAATAGTTAGCGTCCTACTGCGCATTTTATGGGACGGAGGTTGCACGATCTTTGGAGGTATCCGGCCTAGTATGTACGTTCACTTGTGGCGTGCTTCCTACTTGTAAGCCTAATCCCACGGCTTGCCTCTAACGTGGAAATGGTCCATGCTTTTTACCCAATATTTTAAATAACAATGTTGTGTTCAGATTGCGGAATCCAGGGACCAACTTTCCATCAATAAAGCAGCAACCAACTCTAAAGGATGACATGATTCTTGCTCCAGGAAAGCATAACATTCCTCAGTTATGAAGTGCAAGTCGTTGCGTCAAAAAATAAACATTCTGGGAAACTTGGTGTGGGCATTGTAATGCAGGCATTTTCAGCAAAATAACCATAAGTTATCACAAGACTGCTGAGTCATGGGCAAAAGTTTCGCCCTTGCCGGGACACAGCTCTTGTTGATTGGTCGAAATTGCACCCCGATACGCGCAAACTGGTAGCACGAACATGCTCCTCGAAAGCGATAGCGGATACCGAGTACGGCAACCGCCGATCGGGGTGAAAGTATATTTTCAGCAATTAAGCCTCAGGCACTGCGTCCAAAGTTTGCCAGCGAACTGCGGCGCTAAATACCAGCGGCTATTCCAATAAAAACAAGTCAGAATAACCATAACTGAAAATTGAGGAATACTCTCCAGCGTAAGAAAATTTATTATTTTGCACTAGCCAGTGTAAGCAATATTACAAAATACATTTGTGTTTATAAGTGTTACTCGTTAGATGAACCAGCTTCCTGAGATTATATTAGAGGAGCAACCACAACTCTCACAATCTGATGCAGCATCTTTGAAGGACGCGCTTCGCTCAGCTGCTGCTTCTGTTTTGAATCGAGAAGCAGAATTGGCGAAAAGTAACCGGACCCCTTTGACACCGTCCCCCAAGCATAAATGGTACGTTGCCGACGTTGACTAAAAGGACACCAATGAGTATTCATCGTTCGGAATATCTTGTTGTCGAATAATTTTCACAAGTTAAAATTTGTCCGCTATGGCAGCTGTATGCAAAACTTAGGACGACGTTACGTCCTTTTGCCATGCGTGTTAACTGGCCGCATTATTTGCCCGTAAGACCCTCAATACAAAAAGCTGCCACAGTGCACAAAAGAAAGTTGGCGTAACATGTACTCGTTTAAATGGTCAATAAAGCTAAGAAAGCCGGTCATGACTACGTCATTTCGGTTCCTCGTGCCTTGATAGTGCAGCACCGCCGTCGTACTGTAACGGTTCTGTTGTGCAGTTGAAGCGCGCTCACGTCTATGGGGTGGGAGCGAGCGAGCGCCTCAAGTTAGTGCGCCAAATTGTTTGTGTGGCTGCAGAGAGTAGCCGTAAATTGGCAGGGGAACTGCCTTTGGGGTGGATATGCCGGCAATGTACAGCGGGAGGGGGCCATAAAAAACATAGACCAGTTTTGTCTGCTCACATTAGACCGGTTTTAATCCACACTCTGCTCATTCCAAAATCTGCACTGGCTGGCCAACTTATTATTGAAAGAGCGCATTCCATTCTTATAAGGAAAATTCTTCATAATGGCCACCTACGTGGACGGCATCAGAGAAAAATTTGCCCGGAAAACATGGTGCACTGGCCGAGCTCAGTGGGGTCTTCAACGGATCGTGTACCATAACGACCTTTAGTTTCTTCAGTTAGGATTTCGAGGAGCTGGCATAGTATGACGTGATGTGTCATAAAGGAACCTATGCCAACATTGAATCGATTTCAACGGATCTTATGTTAAGAGCTATTCAGGGCTGAAGGTGGGAGCAAAACTGAACAACTTAATCGAATCTTAACGAAAACTCCCGACGACCTAGAGAAGAGGATGAACTCCTCAACTACGAACGAGAAGCTAAAAGCCTGATTAAACTTTAAACACGCTACTAGTCATGACAACGCTTATCATCTATTTATATTGGAAGCGTCGCTGAGAGCCATCAAACAAATATTTCAAGGGAAAACACGATTACTATGTCAATTGTAATTTTATACCCCTATTTTCAGGTGGAAAGAAAGTTGGGTAAGTAAACACTTCTTATATCAAAAATCGGTAAATTCTGCAGCAAAATGGCATAAATTCTTCTACTCCCTTTTGTAAAGTAAAGTAACTAATATTCTAACTTCTGATCAATTACTTGCAACAAATCAGGAAATCAGAAAGTTATATCGGTATCAGAAAATTCTGTACTGTAGACATGGTGCACTGGTGATAGGGTCAAGCTCAATGGGGTCTTCGAACGATCGCGTACCATAACGAACTCTGCTGGAAAGCGAGTTGCGCCGAGGGCTTTGGGCATTTGAAAGCTAATGTTCCCAGGAAACTATGGAACATTGAATCGATTCGCAAAAATTATGCGAGTGCTTCAGGCTGAAGTATTTACGGTAGCCCGAGCTTGACAACGATGACATGATGTGTCATATTCTGAAGACGGTGAGGGCAGTGAAGGAGGCCTGCTACACTAATAGAGGAACACTTTAGGGAATACTTTGCTGAGGAACCTCCGTCAACGACGGCAATCTCTGCGAAGAAAAAAGGGCCGAAGTGCGACATGGGCAAAATGTCTTTTTTTTGGTAGGATGTGAGCAATGTATGTGTTCTCCCTGGCGTTTCTCCCCTCTCCTGGGCTTGGTCCAAGTGTCACCTACCATCAGCTCTGTTGTGATGTCCCCTCCCCCAAGGCATGAGCGTCAAAATACTAAAGCACGCCTTCTCTTTCACAAGGTCGATCATGGTACGCTGGGGAGACACAACGAGTGTGGAGAGAGGATAAATGAGAGAACACGCCGTACGAGAGGAAACAGATAAAAGGCCGGCGCTATCGCAATATGGCGTCATTTCGTAGACCCCTATCCGCGTTTCGTTAACACGTTGACGACAACGCGAGTTTTGGCTTTTTGGCCACGTGGGACCGCGGCGATTTTGCGGGCGCGCCGCCTCAGGTCGTTCAAGCAGATTTTGAGTGATAAATACATAAATAATGATCAATACAAAACCAGATCAGTAAATTGTAATGAGCACAACCTACCCAGGGGTACAGTAGTGGAATTTCGATCGAAAGACATGGAATAACAATGAAAAAGCGAAATTTTCAGAACTAGCTGCAATGGACCTCAAAAGCAATTTTACGTTGATTATTTCAATCAAAACACACATATTGTCATCCCTAAGGTTCCGTATCTACTTCTACTACTATTTAAATCTTCACATTCATAAAAAGAAAAAGTAAACGAAAAATTTATTGAACTGAAGATTTCGTATGGTTCAGAAATCCTCTAAATTAAAGCATACGTGACCATTCTATGGGCCACTATGTTTGTAGCTACGTCAAGGTCTCTTCCATGGAATGAATACAAGAAACTTCTAAAAGAATCAGGCGTGCGGGGTTATATGTATACCAGTTTAGCGCCGCACGCTACCGCGCGCATTAAACGGAAGGTCGGGATGAGACAGGACAGCCGACAAAGCGCTAGATTCACCGCTAACATAGGCTCTTTATCTTAGCAGAAGCTCACCGTTTGATACGCGCAGTGGAGTGCGGAGCTAAAGTGGTGTCTGTAAACAACCACCATGCATCGAATGCCAGTGTAATTTAGCGGTCGGATTGTGTGTGATGTTAAAATATAAACATCCAGCACTCGTTATCGTAGTTTATCTCTGAACTGCCTAACGAGGTTGTCTAGTGAAATCTTTTATTATGCGTGCGTTTATCTTTTCGGAACGATCGTACTTCCTCAAAGGCCAGCCACCACCTGCAAGAGCAAACATACGCCAACTTCCGGTCAGTTAATGGTTAGTATACTCACTTACTTTACTAAAAACTTGTTTAACTAACCATAACCATTAACCCGATGGCGTTTCTTCTGCTCTGCCGGTGGTGGACTGGGCCTTTGAGGAAGACGATCTCGTCGAAACGTCAGGCCACTAATAAAAGATTCTCCACCTAACAACCTCGTTGGCAGAAGAATAACAACATCATAATAACATCAATGCCGAGGTTCTACGAAGAGAGAAGTTGGAGTTGTGTACTTCGCTCCCTCGTATTATTTTGACACTTACATTACCATACAATTTATTAGGAAGTATGGGTGGCGGAGCCTAGCCGTTTGTGATTATTGGGGCATATGATAAACAACGCAATAAAAATAATTAGAGGAGAAAATATTCATCTGAAATCCGTGAGCGGACCTCAATATTCTGGGCATATCGTATATTATCGCCACATTACAGCCGTTATCCCTTTCTTTGTGTTATGATTTAATTATTTTCAGTCTTAGATATTTAACTCCACCATTATGTTCCCGTCTACCCCCCACAAACACTTCTTCGAACCAACGCCTCACTAATGCTGGGACGCGCGCTATGGATATCGCAGAATTGGCGTTCTGGCGCCTCTTATCGGGTCTTATCAGTCGTTATCACTTTGCGTCCCCCACCAAAGATGTTCCCGTCCTACCCTCTACATCACTTCTTGGAACCAACGCCTCACTGATGCTGGGACGCGCGCTATGGATATCGTGGAATTGGCGTTCTGGCGCCTCTTATCACGACCACACTGGGTGAGGGACTTTAGTTCAAGATTTACAGTTCTGCTCACTTTGCACCTCTGCCTCGCACCTCGGCATGCGTGCCTGTGGGATACCATCCCTTAATTGGTTGAGCTGCCTTGTGACCTTCTTAACGATGCCAAATACATCGATAAAACGAAACGAACCGATGATTACATTTGGATTTTGATACAAATTATGCGACATTCGACTGCCAGCGCATTGGCCATGATTCTCGAAAGCCGAAAGCATGGCGATCGTATCGGGGTCCCGCGTGAACGTGCACCTCAGTAGAAAGCTACGTTAAATAGCAAACATGTAATGAATATTGTCTATTTTGGATCATCTTCGTCCTCGACTCACAAAGTAAGTCATGTTGAGTCGCAGCTAAAGATCGCCCGTCACTGATTAACGCTGCAGCAGTACACGATTACAATCAGTTCCCTACCTAAATCCACCGATTGGAAATACATTTTCAAATTCTCGCGCTCAGACCGAGGGATGCGAGAAAAAACATGTAGAAAGTATTGTGGTTTAACCGCCTTGTATCAGCCGTTCTGCTCAATTTTGGCTCTTAGCTTTCCATACCTCTTTTTTCATAAACGATATAGAACAATATGAAGAAATATATCAATCCTTCGAAGGTTTGAAGCTTGCGCGTCCAAGAAAATTCAAGGATTAAAAGCTAGTTTTTTTCAGAATCTGACCAGAAACCCCCAAAAACGACAACCAGTCTACTTCCAGAGACCGGTCATTTTCCGAAACAGTTTCGAACTTCGAAGTAATTCAATACCTCTTCTTTCTTTGTTTTGATGCATGCTGGAAGGTTGCAATAATTTGATACCCATTTTTAAGCATTGAATTTGCACGAAGATTTGAACCTAAGCTTATGTGCATTTTTCAATATTTATATTACTCATTGAAAAAATTCCACTGCAACTCCTTCGTTTTCAATATCGATGTTACTGAAATCGAAAATTTTTGTCACCGATAATAAATGCACTAATTGCCGTGGACTTCAAATTAATCATCTTTGTTGAGATCCATTTTCAACTTCTACATATAATACACTACCCCCTCTGTCCGTTAAAATCCACCTTACCTACTGTTGAGACCTTCCCATAAATTTTATGTCATAACTAATTCGATTGGTGGTCTCAGTGCTACGATGGAATTTCGCACCCCTAAATTAGCAGCTGCGTCGCGACGAATCGACTCCGTCAAAATGGCCACTATTAGGCAGCATGCGACTAGCCCACTAACCTGTGCGAGACGCCGTTACATGCCCATAACGGTGCAAAAGATTGGCGAATAGCGATTTCGGAAAGGAAAAAGGTGATTTTAGAAAAAATGTGATTATTCCTTCATTATTACTACTTTCAATCTTCTGACTCCTGTGAGCAAACCAAAATGAAATTGATGTCCATATTTAATATTATTACTATTACTACTATTACTGCTTACTATTATCATTGTTATTATTATTCATTATCATTATTAGCCAGAATACGTTTTAGCTTAGTTAGGAAAATCAGTGAGCGAACACAAAAAAAAATCCAAAATATGTGTAAATCCCGCAAGCAACTATATAGACTTCTTAGTTATGTATCTAGACATTCTTCTACAACACGAAGCAATTTGATCGGGGTGGGTAAACTTCGTCGAATCTGTAAAAAAAAGCCATGTGTGTCCAAAAGGAGATCAATTTAGGAACTATCGAACTTTGCCATTTCTTCTCACAGAATCCCAGCCCTGTAGAATCCCCTGTACCCCGTCATCACGAGGCATATGAGAGGTATGAAGATTTCCTTGACTACCTAAACGCTAAGCGGGTCACTCAAAGGTATCAGGTGCAAGTGGGGTGTTAAGGAGTTGAGGACTACTAACATAATAATAATGAATAATTATAACAATGGTAATAATAATAATAATATAAGAGTAATAATAATAAATATGGACATCAATTTTACTTTGATTTGTTCACACTAGTCGGAAGAAAAAGGTTAAGAAAATGATGAACTCACATTTTATCTGAAATCACCCTTCCTCCCTTCCGCCTATCTTTGCACCGTTATGGACATGTACGGCGCGTCTCGCCCACAGGTAGCTGGCGCCTAGTCGCGAGGCAGCACTAATTAGGTGCCAAAATTTGAGGTCACTTCGCACCTCGTCGCGACGCAGCACTAATTAGGTGCTGAAATTTCCAATCGTACCACTTGAGACACACCCGGCTTTGATGTAGGTTGGTCTTTCTCTGGAGGTCACAGGACTCCTCAACCAATTAAGCGAGAGTATGCCACTGGCAGGCCTGCCGAGGTGCGAGGCAGAGGTGTAAAGTAGGCAGAAGTGTGAAACTTGAACTAAAGACACAGACCCGATCTAATCAATCGTTATCACTTTGTCCCCCACCAAAGATGTTCCCGTCCTACCCTCTACATCACTTCTTGGAACCAACGCCTCACTGATGCTGGGACG